TTCCGTGAATCACATTGCAGTCACCAAACAGTAGCGCCGTATGCGGTGTACCATTAAACTACATAGGAAGTGACTCAAAGTAAACGGTTTAGTAATTTGCTTGAATGATCAGTTACTTTGCAGACGGCCTAAAAGTAGCTTCATAACGGTTATTTATTAAAGCCGGCTACGCCTTCCAAATGGATACAATAATATTTTGAAAACACCAATGTAATTTTGTGAAGAATTTCAATAAATTCATTACTATAATTATTTTGATATTTTTTCCATGTTATTACATTAAATTTTAATTATTGCACCTCTAATAATATTGTTTTATTTTTATTTATTTTTTTTTTTTTAAGAAGTGGTATGGCTTAAATACTACAATAATTTGTTGTATTATTTTATTAAAATCAATTGCATTGAGGGACATAAAGACTCATGAGTTTAGTCACAATACACAAGAAAGTTCCACGAATATTTTTTAATTCTTGGATTCCTTGGAATAGCGATATAAAGAACCAGCAAGTTATTTCAAAGGCAGACGTTAAAAACTCCCGTTGGGAAAGTTCAGTCAAATAAAAGCCTCTTGGCTACGCGGTCGATTGTAAAAGTTGTCGACATTTCCCACCTGTCCTCGCATCCCTTGCTGATTGAGCGACCACGAGCATTATTACTAAGTGTTGTATTGTTGAAACGTTTATTTTAAAACAGAATATTAAACTTTAAGAGTGAACATGTGAAAAACTTTGGGGATAATTGGCGGTTTCAGCTTCTCACTTTAACGATCATGAAAAGTATTATACTGATAATGATAGAGTAAAAGTGTTACTATTGCCAGTCTGTCAACTGCTTATACAAATTGATCTAAATGATATCCAATATTTTCTTTACCGTTTATTCTATGAAGAATTATTTCTTTAAAAGAGTTGCCTTACTGACAGGATCTTTGAAGTATAAATCTTTATTAAAATATGTCAGACATATTTTGAAGTTGTGCAGATTTTATATTGTTAAGCGCAACTGAGGATATTATGAGTATTTAACCAGATTTTGCATTTTGGTTGGGTGTGATAGCTGAAAAAACATATCTAGTAACCAACGTGCCCCTTTGTATTCAGATAGTACATAGGTAGACGAGTCTAAAAAGTCAGGGATGAAAATTTTTCTGGCACCCCATGGGCGTTGATGACGTAATCAATATGGCCGTCAAAGTTGTGTGACATGATTCAAATTTCCTTATAAACTCGGTCTCATAGTTTAATATTGCCCTATTAGTGATTATTAATAATGAAAAATTAAATTTCTGATAGTATATTTGACATCATTGTTTAGATTTATACTATGAATATTTATAACTTTATTAAACTTATTAGTTTGTGATTACCGGTTACTGTCCTTCACATACCTACACAAAGTTTTGTACATCGCATTCCTATCCTAACACATTTACAAGAAGTGCATCGCTTGCGGCAAGTACATGAGGTAAGTTGTACACAATCTTTTGACTCTTCTGGGATTGTTGTCCACAGAGGACGGTATGACCTTCCTAGGTTTCTCTCCACCCCACTGGCGACAGTATTGGGTACTGTGCAACGAGGCTGTTATTCCAAATTCTTCTGCCTGGAGAGTAGCTAGTTTGAGGCGTTGTTTAAAGCATCTTCTGTAGGAGGCATTTTTCTATTGTTTCTTGTAAACAACACTCGTCTGCAGTCATTGATCTTCTAAAGATCTGATGCTTGATCATAAAGTAGAATTATTAGAAATCGCTGCAACTTATCATTTAATTCATCATCAGTATCAGAGGGGCCTGTACTGAACTGATGCCATACAAAATCACAATTTCACGAAATGACATCCAGACCTTACAATCTGTCTTCTTACCTACGGTAAAAAACGTGGAACCTGTATCGCAGCCAGCTACGGAATGAAAAGCCGATAGATTTCTGCAAATTTTCAGTGAGAATTTGGCACAAACCTTATGAATCTAAATGAATTTCCTGTATTTCCCACATCCATACTCAATACATAGTTTATCAATATCTTGTATTTGTTGGAACAGTAATGCTGACATAACCACTACATCGTGGACTCATAGTTCGTATTAAGATGCGAGTATGTCCACTTTCTACTGCATGCTTAACATGGAGAAGTAAGCGGCCATCTGCTTCTTCGTGCGAGGTTGGAGAAACGCTTTATAGATCCATAGTTGTTGACGTAAGGACTCTGTCATCATAAGTACAGACAACATGTTTTCCTGGATACTCGTTTCCAACAATTTTCTTAGCAACTGGAACAACTGTGTCTTGTTGTCATTGACACATAATAATTGCTTGTTTTTTTTTTTTTTGGGGGGGGGGGAATTGCAGTTGGGTCCGATACTTAAATAATTATGCTACTTTCTGTTGTTGTGGTATTAGTATATCTGTCGAATACGATATCTAGTTGTTAACTATTCTTCAGTAGTGTAGTCAAGTAAGGTTTAAAAAACATTACAGCACACGTTGTAGCAATACCACGATTAAGCATGTGTATTACGGCTGCTCCATCAAGTATTTTAGCTGTTACGTTTGGTTGGCTGTGATTAAAGCTAATGTAACATTTTGTTTGAATGCAGGTTGGTTTTCTGACTT